TTTTTAAAAACAGGAACCAAATAAAAGCTTAAATACATTTATTAATTGGGATTAAAAAGTACATGAATAAAATGAAGAACAATGTCCATAAAAAAAATATACCGGTACGCGTTTCACCACTAGATGTGGCTTCGTCAGCCGGATCAGCATTGTGAGAGTTCTTGGTTCCTAGCTTCTGTTTATATACCCTCCTAATTGGAGAATCTTCTACATCTGTGTATTAGGCTTTGGGGGAAGGCTTAACCCATTGATAAACATAGCAGTTTCTCTGAAACTGCTATGTTTATAAAACAATGGGTTAACCCTAGAAGGACCTGGCACCAAGACCACTTCATTAAGCTGAAGTGGTCTGGGTGGCTAATGTGGTCCTTTAAGAGTGTAGTGTGTGTGTGTGTGTGTGTGTGTGTGTAGATATATATATTTGGAAGTATTGTGTATGTGTGTGGTGCAGTGTGTTGGGGGGGTTCTGTGTGTATGTGAGAGGTGTGGTGTGTGAGAGTGCCTGTGTGAGTGATGGGTGTGAGAGTGCTGTGTGTCAGTGATGGATGTGAGAGTGCTGTGTGAGAGTGCTGTGTGTCAGTGATGGATGTGAGAGTGCTGTGTGAGAGTGTGCTGTGTGAGAGAGTGCTCTGAGAGTGCTGTGTGTGTGAGTGCTCTGTGAGAGTGCTGTGAGTGTGATGGGTGTGAGAGTGCTGTGTGAGAGAGTGCTGTGAGTGTGATGGGTGTGAGAGTGCTGTGTGTGATGGGTGTGAGAGTGCTGTGTGAGAGAGTGCTGTGTGTGATGGGTGTGAGAGAGTGCTGTATAAATGTTATTGTGTGTGTGTAAGAAGGGGGGTAAATAAAAAAACAGACACTATGTCCCCCCCCCCTCCCTTCTTACCTTTAGCCTGGGAGGGGGGTCCGGCACGCTGGAAGGCGGGGAGGCAGTGTTCCCTGGTGGTCCTCGTGGGTGAGTGAACTCTAGCCCGTGAGGCTAGAGTTCACTCTCGCGAGATCCGGTCGTTGCCATGGCAACGCGCCGGATCTCGCGAGAGGAACCCGGCGGAGCTGCAAATTAGAGCTCCGCCGGGTTCTCTCTCCAGCCTAGCTGGCTGTCTCCCTCCCTCCCCGCCGGCGGCCGCATTTGGGCCGGTGAGGGAGATCTTTGATCTCCCCACCGGCCCGTCGTGGCAAACAGCGGGGCCGGCGCAAGGATAGTGCCGGCCCTGCATAGACCGGCAGGGGAGATCCTGGGACTTCCCCTGCCGGCCTCGGCCCCACGGCCACCGCGGCCCACCGGGCATTTGCCCGGTGTGCCCGATGGCCAGTCCGGGCCTGCAAACACCCTTTCCAGGAAGGTATGTTCCTTTTGACATTTGCAGATTTTTTTCTCTTTTCTTTCTAACTCTTTTTTTCTGTATCATTATTTCTATTAACCAATTGATCTTCATGCCATCTATTATGCACATTATCCACACTTTTATACTGAATCAATTGGAAATAATAATACTTTTATTGGAGTAAATAAAAATGACAATGCTAATATGATGATTCCAGCGAAGTCCATCCATGTCTGTCTCCAGCTTTAAATCCTATCGGAAACCCAGTCGAAATCTTTGAATAGCTTCAGCTCTACATCAGATAGTGACTTAGACTTGTCTGGCGGTGTCAGAATGGGGGCGCACGATGTGTACATTGTATTAAAGTTGCGGATGTCGTCTGGTCCCTCGATGGATGGTACGCATGGCGGCCTGACACTCTTGAACAATAATGCGAACCAGTCTATTTGCTGTTAAAAATTCAAAATGTTTAAGGGAAAAGAATGATTAAGAGAAGTAGTGTGTACTCTTATACAATCAGTAAACTAATAATATAGAATAATAGATATAAAAATAGTGGTGGCTGTTCCATAGAGAAGTAGATGCTGGGTATAATTTTCCTATGATCCCTGAATGCTTACATATAAAATACATGAACTCCAGGATTATTGTGTATTTGGTTAAAAATCTTAACTGAAAGCTAATATATATATATATATATAATATATTTAGCTGCTAGAAGGTGTATTTCTATTTGACATACTTCAAAGAAAGGGTGGCTCTTCAGATCCCAGGCATCATTCTCGCTGGCTCCTAGACGGTCTTCAGGATCTTTATTCAAAAGCTGTATAAGAAAATATTTAAAATTGTTATTTTAACTGAAAAAAATGAGAATAAAAGGCATTTTCTTGCAGGTTCTGTAAAATATGAGCTCAGGCTGTATACGTTAGTACAGAGCTTAATAAAAAGAAGGCACCATATCACCACGGCATTGTGTTCTGGTGCCCGGACATAGCTCTGCCCTGATCGATGGCATGAGTCATGCTTATTATTTCATTCACCATATGGAATTTTAACCTGTTTTATTCTGTAACTAGATCCATGTGTTTGTGACTGCTTGTTGTTACAATCCAACACACCGAATATTCACACAGGACCAGCTGTGTTTCCAGACCCTTACAAATCAAACTGCCCGAGCCCAACTTCACACACAATGGAATCATCATAGCATGATAAGCCTTAAGAGCTGTACTGCTTAGAAGCAGGAACTTTAATCCTGGAGGGTCTAAGAATGAGCTTACTCAATCTATCTAAATTAGAAAGCACTATGTGTTGGCAACTTACACTTCTTAATATTGATCGCGCTTCTGCAGTCAGGAACCTCGGATAGTGCGGCGTTGAATGGACAATATTATAGCTCATCTGTCTTCTATCACCTGAGAAGGGATACTAATAGAAAAACTACAGTTAGAAAAAGTGCACGGTGGGCATGGGATCTACGGTGGGTAATGTCTCTAATGTAAATTGTCTGCCAAAGCAGAACCAATAAATATAATATAAAGAAACAGAGTATAATAGGGTTTAAAATTAAACAAAGTGAACAGCACACTTGTGCATTCACCACAATAGTTAACATTCTAGTGGTGTGTGCGGATAAATAAAAAAGGACATGGGCATGTCAGGGGATACAGAGAGGGGAGAAAGGTCAACAAATCACTGGGGGGGGGGGGGGGGGGGGGAAGCAGGGCAAGAGCACAAGCAAGAGTGTTTGCTGAGAAAGTCACCCAACGATCTTCCAGACACCAGGTGAACCATCCCACATATGTTGAATTACCTGAGCCAGTTGTATACAGGCTCATTAAGTGTAATGCAACAATAACATTATTTTTTATATTTATTTTGTGTTCAAACTGTATTGCACTATTTGGAGTATTTCCTCTTACAGAGACATTTGGGATATCATATACATGGTATATTCCTTATTTATTTACCCTTACACACCACCAGTGCTCAGTATTGTGCTAAATGTTTATTTCATAGATTCATATCACACAAGTGCGTTGTCCACTTCGTTTAGTTTTTATGTCTGAATATATTTGTAAAATTGACGGATTGTTTTCGCTGTGGAGGTTAGTAGCACTTATCGTTACATCTACACAGCGCCTGTTTGTACCTCACACCTGTTGTTTTTTCTATCAGGTTAAAATACAAGTACATTAAGTATAATGAGCTGTAGTGGTTATGGTGGTCAGGTTTCCCCTTTAACCCCAACCAGTCTACAGTTTGAAATGCTATCACTATCATCAATGGACTGTTTGACACCACACAAGGGATTTTAGTTTATAAACAAGGAATCCTACAAATTGGTAAAAATAAGCTATTCTTACCTTTCCACACAGCATTATATAAATAACTGCGCCGAGACTCCACCAGTCAATAGATGTTGTATATGGTTTACCGCAAACCATTTCCGGTGCCATGTAATGCAGCGTGCCACAATATGTTCGGCCTTCATCTCCATATCCCATCCCTCAGAAAAAGAGAAAAGATAAATGTACATCGGTAAATATACAGATAGATGTTGCTGATATACAGTATATGTTATAAGTGATATTAGAATATTGTTGCAAGGAGTTGGTGCATTCCTGCTGCAGATTCTCTCTGTAATTTTGTATAAAGTTTTACATGGTGTTTACGAATCTGTGGCTGACAAGCCAACCAATCAGAGTGCTCTAATGAGAATTCAATGTGTGGGAAAGACTTTGGACAATTCCCACTTTAAAGCTTCATACTGCACTAGCCCTCGCAGGACAAAGAAAGATTTATTTAAATTGTGTCAGGTTTATAATTTTTTTGCAATTGGGATTTTTAAGTGTTACATTGCAGGATGATGGATATTAATGTGGCCTTTTTTGGGCTGACGATAACCTCCCATTGTGTAATTATTTAGAGCCCCCACCCAGCGCTAATGAATGTGGTGGGGACATTAGGTTCTCCCTGTATAAAATTAGTAGCCTTCCACCAACTGTCGACCTGCATTATTGATTTTTATCCCCCCACCAAATGTCCACAGGTGGGGGCACAGGGGACTATGTGCTCCCAATTATTTACTATTGACACTGGCTGCCCAGTCGCTAGTTTTAACCAGTCCCTATGGCAGTTAAGGGAAGAGGGAGGGTTTAAACTTCCTTATAGTCACATGGGGATCTTACTGGTCCCCACAGGGTTTTTATTTATATATTTTGGCCACCTGCAACATAATTAACCCTTGCAGTTGCCAAGGCTTTAACTATTTGCCTGCTGGTTTCTATAACTGCCTGTGGAAACTAAGTTTGAAAATTTTGGCTGCGTTCCGGACAAAGTTTAGGCCATTTGGAGTCTGAATGGCTCGTTATGCAGTCAGATGGTTTTGCCCCATTCAGTACAAAGCCAATCAGACTTTAGTGAATAACGGTTTGTGTTGCACATATTCTTTTAATTCAGTTTGCAGCCGGATGTTATTTGTTATGTGTGGGTAAAGTTAAATTGTGCAACTTTGTGAGAAATTACTTTCGTTTAATATAAAATAATTTTTACCTTGTTTACTAAGACCGAAGTCTGTAATTTTGGCGAATCCATCTATGTCTATGACAATGTTTGCCAATTTGAGATCTCTGGATTTAAAATACAGAAAAATCATTTTTATTTTTTCAATATCACTAGAGGCACTTGAATTACATGGTTTTCTTTCTTTAGCCTTTTTAAAGATTAGATTTAAAGACTTAACTAATATAAGACAAAAATAGTTACTATGATAACATAACTAATCAATCAAACCACAGACACAGCATTTCGATCACAATACAGTAAATAACACAGATAATATTTATGGGGACACTATGTATGTATGTTCAACGTTATTTTTTTCTGTACACTTACCTGTGAACAATATCGTTTTGATGCAAGAATTCCAGGCCGAGCACACAACATGCCGCATAAAACCTGTAGAAAAGAGAATAAGTTAGTTTTATTTTAGGGAAGGAAATTAAGTTTTTGTAGCACTGAATAGTTTGATTCCACCATCCTGTGTCAATCTATGCTCAGACATATTTCCTGTAATGTCTTGTATCTTCGGCATTAACAGTCAGCTTAATCTGTTTTGGATTTTTTTCAAATGTTTTCAAGTGCTAAAACCACCATCTAGCTCCCCATGTCTCCCTAAATATAGTAAAATCATACTTCTATTCAAGTCTGCAGCTGCCTCTATCCCTATGCTCTTTCTGTGTCTGTTCATTGGATTTGTTCTGGAGTTGCTCCCTGTGTCCCGCTCCTGGAGATCCTGTGTCCAGAAGGTCAGAGACCCAGAGGCCTCCGGTTTCCTCATATTAAATTTCCCCTTTCTCTTGTTTTGCATTTGTGTTACCCACTTGTTTTTATGTAGCTAACATACTTGTTATCTTTCCTCATTGTTTTGTATTTATATGGGTATTAATTTCCTACTTACGGTGATTGCTGCTGCAGTCAGCACCCTTTACCAACCAGACAATCCGTTTCCATAATCCCAAAACTATTTTTACTTACACAGCTCTGGTTGTGGAAAATGGCTGAAAGTTGTTGTTCCTAATATTGGTCATTAAGTCCCCACCAGCGGCATACTCCATTAAAAAACAGAAATGACCCTGAGTCTGGAAACTTGCCAACATGTTAACAAGGAATGGATGTTGTACTTCGCTCACAGTCTGTAGGATTTCCTTTTCACATATAAGTCTTGGAAATAAAAAGGGAATAATTTAATTAATCACCTTTTATTTTAATTCTTTTTTTTTTTGCTGTGCAAATAATAACATTCATACTTGTAGTGCCACAACAACATTTACAAGCCTAGTAATAAAAAATTGTATAAAGCGTCAGCATGGCATGTAGAGTAAACGCACATTTTTAGAATATAGTAATGATAAGCTAGAGAGTCATGTCTGGGTATATATTAAGATAGAGACTTGCTAACGAGTAGCTTTTCCAGACACGGTGACAACTGATGAAGTAACATAGGGTAAGAATGCTAAATCACATGCTAAGCCATTACCCAGAGGAGTACCACTGCATCTAAAAGCTCTACCAGAGTGTCTCATCTACGCAACATAAATGATACAAAATAAAAGCTAAAAGAAAAAAAAATGTAAGACTAAAGTAAAGATAACACTTTTTGACTGAACCACTGAACGCGAGTGGGAGAATGGGAGTTGGAGTCCTTCAGGAAACCCAAAGCTCATACAGGAGGTGTTATGGCTACATGCTGTAGTGAGTCCCATGTCTAGCCAATTCTCAGTCTCTGGATGTCACGGCAGCTAGAGTGGTCCAACACGCAGAAACTATGTAAATATATACATATCCTTAATAGAAAAGGAAAAGAAAAGGACAGAGCGTAAACCAGACCTTAGAATGGCCGGACTAATACGCTAGA